AGTCATGGACGTCAATTCCTCGTCTTTTTTGTCAGTTAGTCCCCACGGGGATAATCCTGTTCCCCTCAAGGCGTGGCTCTTTAGAAACATCCCGGAATATCACTCATACAAGTAAAAACAAAATAATCGATTAATAATTATTGATTGAAAAAAAGATCAGTTAATTAAAATAGAATTAATAATTCTAAATTAATTATTGATTGGTAGGCATGAGATGAGTGGTGATTTGCATATTGTGGACACTGTAATGTATCAATTTAACTTGACGCCAAACCTCACTCCTGATCAATTGGTTGGAAGATTAACTCCATATCTGTTTGGAGGTAAGGAAATGGATTGAACTCTATAAAAATGATGAAACTTTAGCTGGTCCTTCCAGTTAGCTTGCTCAATCAGCTTCAGTCACTTTTTGATTTAAATCAGAAAGTATTGATCTTCAATTATTAGGAGGGTGGAATTTTGTAGCATAATATTATTACCGGACATTGTAGCCCACTTAGTTTGATAGAGTTGCTTTTTCGCACTTTCCTAAAGGATGTATAACTTGATGTTTTTGTTATTGTTTTTTTATTTAGTTAGTCGCAATTTTGTACTCTCATTATGGAAGTTCCTTTCTATATTGAAAGTTCAACAGGAACATAACATTGCTGATGTATGTTGAATCAAAAACATACTTAATGATATCTGAATTTTTGTCACTTTCTTGAGCTTCTACTTTAATTTTTCTTTCATCCTTTTCTTTTCCTTTTGACATCAGAAAACAGTAGAAGATTTATTACCACTTCAAACTGAAGATGGCAAGCCTGTGACAAGCCTAGTCTCACAAATTAAAGTATCAAGAGATTGAGAGAGAGAGGGGGGGGAGGGAGGGAGCCTCAGGGAGGGAGAGAGGGAGGGAGAGGGAGAGAGAGAGAGGAAGAGAGAGAGAGAGAGAGAGAAAGGGAGAGGGAGGAAGAAAAAAGAATGATACACAATATTACTATCAATAACTATCAAATATTGTTTTAATTAATACATGTACTTATTTATAGATGCTAGCCAGTGAAGTCTCTACTCCTCCATCCCTCCCTCTACCAATGAGCTCTGTCCTATCTTCATCAGAAGAGAAACGTGTCTTGTACGATTATGTTGTCGAGTTGGGGAAGGAACTCGTGGGAGACTCTAAAGATTATCTTCAGGACTCTGATTTATTTCGTGACGATGCTAAAATTCTTTTAGGTACATGTACATGTGCACTACTCATTGATGTAGCTACCAATTAATTTCCGTTATGTACACTTGTTATACATGTACATGTACACCTCTGCATGTATTGATAGCATGTGAATGTTTATAAAGCTACTGATTTTCATTTTATTTTTCTTTGTATTTAAGTTGTGACTTGCCAAGCTGTGTGTGGTAACAGCCATCTCA